GAAAATACATGCATGCAGAAACCCTCGCCTTGCTGACAAACAGACAAAACCATTGTATTTTCCGAACATGAAGTATCTGAAGTAGTTGTCATGGTAACACGATAATTTTTTAAGAATATTCTTACAAATGAAAAATCGCCTAAAAAATATCACTTTTAATTACAAAATTATTAATTTGCCAACATATATATATGTTAGGTATGTTATTATACGTAATATAAGCCTCAATTTAAGGTAAAATTCAACCACAAACGCTTCGCAAAACGTTTTAAAGTCACTAGTGTTCTTTATAAAACTAAACTGACTTTTAAAATGGCTTTATCGATAAACTTTGAGTTTCCAATAAAATGACTTCGAATTATCGCTTGCAAATAACTCTGCTTTCTTTTTTATTTAAAAAATTCAATATCATAAAAAAGGGAATCAATATTACTAAAGATACACTGAAATAATATGCTGTCTTGTTTAGTTGTTTCATATATGCAAAGGCCGTCGGGTTTTAAATTAAATCCATTATAAAATCAATATTTAAAACAAACTTACCTTCGTTAACGTCGGCTCACTTCTTTTAGCCGATTCTTTCGCCCTTTCTTTCTTGAAATTTACAAAATCTTGCAAAAATGCGAGCAAAAATGAAATATATTTGTGATATTTGCAAGAAATTTATCAATCATCAAATCAAGAAATGTTTGCTATTTCGCTGTCGTCATGCAGTGGTTATAATGCAAACTTTAAATTGGACCAATCAGTTTTCGCTATTCATGACAGTCCGCCACATATTTTGAGATCAGTGAGGATGACCACCCACCGAAACATCGTTGGTGAGCCACGCCCGCGATATTTGATGAACTTTAGACTCCGCTAATGCTTTCGTTTCCCCGGGTGTAAATAGCCGGGGGGAATTAGTACCCTCGCACGGCGCTTCGCGCCGTCGGCTCGGGATGACTATTAAAACAACATTGCTACATGGTTGTACTTGTTTTAACTATTAGCGCTAACTGCCAGGCTAACTGCAAACTTCAAAAATCAATATTTTCGGAAAAACAAACACGCTCTTCTTTAATTATTGCTATTACTTGTACTTAACGTTGAATATTTCCATCGCCCCAGCGACTTAACGCTCCGTGGAGCGTCTTGTTAAATAAAGTTTAGGGGTCGACGTCATCGATGTCGTTAAGGCAATTGCTAGATAGTATACTTCAAAATAAGATTTCCGTTTTTATTCTATTTTTAAAATAAGTTAGGGTTAGGTTTGGGTTTAGGTTGGGGGTTAGGTTGGGGTTAGGGTTAGGTTTAGTATTAGGGCTAGGCTTTAGTATTGCGTTAGGATAGGTTTTTCTACGTTATAAAAACGAAAACCTTATTTTGAAGTATACTATCTAGCAATCACCATGTCGTTAACCTACTAAATTGTTTGAAGCCA